GCCTTGGAGATATTCCTGAAGTCTCTGCTGACCAAAACCTGCGTGATTACAGAGTCCAAGCTCAGCACTGTTGTGTCTGTGGCTCACATGTAAGTAAGACTTTGTTATTTGAGCTCAAGTATATGAGATTATGAATTAATCAAGACTAATCCATCCATGATGCTAAAATGATGGTATATGTAGATGTAATTAATGAAATCACCAGTGTTGTGCCCTGTGCGTAAATGCATGCAACACTCTATGCTCACAGAAGAACATTTAGATGAAAGACTTCCAAAAACAGCTGGAAGCAATAAACTTAAGTCAGCTCCTATTGTCAGTGAGTCTGGTTCACATGACCTGTTTCACTTTCTCTCCTCATCTCTGAAAGCAGTGCTTTAGGGTTTCACACTGGAAGAGAAATATTATGAGTGTAAGTGAGGCAGATATTTTCACGCGATCTATGCGCACCTTCGACTGCTGCAGGCGTGCAAACTGTCTTTTGTGAAGATGAAGAAGACATACGTGCAATTATAATCTTGTTCATATCTAACTGAATATGACAGCATTCATTCAGACTTACTACGCATGAGGTTCCTCACAAATTTCAACTAAAAAAATGACTGAACAGGTTACAGTACTGTGCAACAATCTTGATCCACCCCTTACTTCTTTATACTTTGCTAGGAAAATGGAAAATAGATGCAGCAATTTATTGAAACATGCACCGAAATACTTATAAAACATAGAGTTTGTACATTTTTAACAAGCGTGAAAATCGATATTTATATTTTAAGTGGGAATAGTTCTCCAGGATTTTTGAAGGACATTCAAAGCTCTTCTTTCGATGTTGGCTGCCTTTTGTTGTGATCTCTGTGATGACAATCCAAGATTGCTTCACTGATTTTGAGGTCCAGAGTCTTGGGAGGCCAATCCATGACTGATACTGTCCCACTGTGTGTTTTTCTGTCCAGGTATGCTTTTACTGCATTGGAAGTGTGTATGGTCATGCTGACAAATGAAATTCTGCTAATTAGATACTTTGTTTTTGCATGGTGGATCAAAATCTGATGGTAGCGTCACGTGTTGGTAGCCAGTGATGCTGGGGATCACATGATCCTGCAGCCAGTGATGCTGGGGATCACATGATCCTGCAGCCAGTGATGCTGGCATTGCTTTTCAAACCATGGCAGAACCTCTACCATGTTTTACAGATGGCTGCAAACAGACATGTTGTGCCTTTCTCCTGAACTCTTCCATACTGCTTGACAACAATTTGAACCAAAAATTTCAAATGTTGTGTCTTTTTGCCATTGTTGCCTCTGATTTTCAGTCGAGTTTTTGTATATTTTGGCATACCTCAGCCTTTTTCCTCTGTTTCCCTTCCTTACTAATGGCTTCTTGACAGCAACCATTCCACTGAGATCATTTCTGATGAGGCTTGAGCGAAACCGAGATGGATCAATTGAAGGTTCAAATGCATCTTTTAGGTCCTGTGCCAGGTCTTTAATGACCCCCACCCCCCGCCCCCACCACCCTATTTGTTAAGGAAGAGACAAAAATGGGTCGTCTTACTTTAGTTAGGTGGCCTTTTAAGGTTCATAGGTCAATGTTAAGTAGCATAAACAAAAAACATTCCTATAAAAATATTCAGGTACAAGGACTGGATTGAAAGTTAGTGAAAAAGAGGCCAATGTTTGAAGAAAAACTTTGAAAGACCTTCAGAAAGCTTGGGGAGTTATTGTTCTGGACCATTTTATAAGAAATTATAAGAACGTCTGTTTTGTTTTTAATATAAAGAATCAGCGGTGGCTCAAGAATCAAGAATACTGTATGCTGTTGTTTTTAAAACAGTTCCTAGGCCGTTAACATTAGTTATCCCCAATAAAATAAATTGAATATTTAACAAAAAAAGCAAATTAAATCAATATATTGTCAGTTTGTTTGCTTTTTTTCTCTTTAGCATGTCGTTCACATGCATGTATATGAAAAGTTGGCATATAATGTATTACATTTTGTGCTTTTATAGGAAGCAATGCATAGAGTCTGAAAAGCTCTTCCATTTTCTCAAAGACTTGGTAGCACAAACCACGCCTACAAGCCAGAAGGACAACAGAGGCATGAGTATGTGGCCTTTATACAGGTAGAGAGTGTACCTTTAATGTCAATGTAACTAATTCCTTCTTAAAAAGCCTCCAAGTGCCCTCAGCATTATTAAATTCTTATGATAATTGACCTTTTCTTTGTTTCAAGGAACAAACAGCATGAAGTTTCTGTTAAAAAACCACCTGAAGTGGAGGAAATGGCTCTGCAAGGTAGCCTCGACTCACTTGACAACGACTCGAGTGCCAGCGTACGTAGTAACTAAAAACGAAATCTTACTCCAACTAACATGCGAACCGAACCAATTAGCTCTCAGATTGTGTGTACTTGTGTTTCTGACACTCAGGCAGTAGTGGACACTTTTGTGTTGCATGCTAAAAGCTGCAGCAGCGCCCCCTTGAGGCCATAGTGATAATTTTACTCTGAAAAAGTGTTTGCTGCTGAGGTAAGAGTACTTCTTACCTGAGCAGTGTTTGTCTGGTCTAGAGAACGGTTGTGGTGATCCGTGGGTGAAAGGGTGAAGACGGAGAACAAATTCTTATCAGTTACCTTGGTTACTAAGAGCTTATCAACTTTGCGGACATGTTAATACCCCTTCTTGTTTCAGTTAGTCAATCATTTCCTTTCCTTCTTCCAGGAGTCGGAGCTCTACATCTGCTTATGACTGTGCAACCAGCGGAAGCCGCTGTGAAGTCACAGCAGCGCCTCATTTCATTATGTCACTTCTCCTTACATTTGTCTTTTGTCTCTGCTGTCCTGGATCTTGGTCACAAATAAGTGAGGCTAAGTAATCACAATACTTCAGCTGACGTCTACATACAAGTTGTTTCGTTAGCTCAACTCCAGCTTTTGGGTAAATATAGTTTCTTTTCTTGGGAGGATAAGTGATCTTTGTTTGGAGCAGATATATTTTAGGATCACTTGAATCTTTTGTGGAAGTTTGCACTGAGTTGTAGATTTTTTTTCCTTCTTGCTGATCAGGAAATTGTGTTTGTAGAGCAGTACATGCTTGTATAATGATGCTATTTAGATTACAATATTGAGTTTTGAGATTATTCTGGAACACTTTTAGACAGTGTGCAGCTTTTTTTTTTTTTTTACTGTATTTTGAAGACGTATATTCTTTGATACGAATTAGACGCTTTCACAATGTATTACTTTATTTTTGGCTTGTTTTTGTTTTCTGGTAGGACTTGTGGGATGTGCAGCAATCTTTAAAACCAAACTAAGTGCTTATTTTAAGAAATAGTGGCCTTTGTGGTGTCTATTTTTAGAGCACTTGTAAATTAAAAGTTTTAAAGATGTTTGCATATATGAAAATAAATAACGTATGTAAATAAATAATTGGAATCTCCAGATAGTTTGAATGTAAAGAAGTTGAATAAAAACAAGTCGCAAGCATATAGGGATTGGTTTATTCCAGTAAACTAACCTTTTTACACTGTGATGGCGTGAAATGAAGAATAAATAGATGCACTCTGTTCTGAAAGGTTATTTTTACTGGATTTTTTTTTTTTTTACATTTTGAAACCAAATAAAGCAAAAACATCTCTCTTCAGTTGCTACGCAGTGACCTGCATGAGGAGGTGAGACGGTTTCCATGTCCCAGCACCGATGAGGTTCGCTAACGTTCCTCCTGCTGATCCACGCTGGCAGACGCTACACTCGTAATGAGCATCAAATCTAGTCTCAGAGGAACAAGCTGGAGTACAGTCCTGCTCGGCTGCAGGTGACCGGACGTCATTCTTCCACATGGGGGGGCAGTTTGGAATGAAAACATGCATCTTCACTACAATGACTCAAAATGAGCAATACAAGTAAAAAATAAACATTCATTTTTTAAACATTGTTTGTCAAATAAAAGAAAACATTTCTGTTTATCTCCTGCAATAATTACATATTTATAGACGTGGAGGCCAATTTGAAGTAGTGGTGCGATAGATCCCTCTTTGTTTTATTCAATCCATTATTTATCCCGAGTCCCAAAGGCACGGTCCATTCATTCTCCTTTGAACAACTGATCCAAATACTGAAGAAGGGGTAACAAAAACAAAGATTGATTTTAAATATGCTCAGAAAAGAAAACATTTACACACAGAGGTGATTGATTGGCCTCACTTATGCTGTCTCTTCTGTTAAGTCGTGCTCTGAGTTTACAGTCGGATGTGCCAGAGATCGAAGGACAAAAGATTAAAAATCCAAAACAGGAAAGAAACCCAAAACAAAACAGCACTACAGTACACCGTTTTCAGAAGAGCCGTGCTCCGTAGCCAAATGTCTGTTTAATAGATTCGAAGTAGTATCTCTTCCAGCCCTCTTTCGTCTGCTCCTCCTGGCTGTTTGGGACGCCTCGATACTCCACCTTCAGCTCTGTCTCGCTGCTCCGGTCCAAGAACGTCATTGTGATCGTGGCGTAGTGCTCTGTGGCAAAAAAAAAAAA